AGAGAGAGAGAGAAAGAGAGAGAGAGAAATGATAAATCCTGGTTAATAGTGGGGTTTTCTCAAATCAATACAAAAGGTGCCTCACACAGATCGATAGTAATACAGGCCAGACAGTTAACTCGAAGACACACACAGAACACACACACAGTGAGACACACACATGAACACACACATCTGCACAAAAACTGAAAACGTTTAAATCAAACCATGAGCCGTTGTCTGACTTCCTGTCCTAAAGTCTTGTAATTATTATCTGCTGGCAGGTTGTTGTTTTTGAAATAAGGAGATTATCATGTGGAATAAAACCACAGATTTAACACTTTGAAATCTTCTCTTGATGCGATGGAAGAGCAAGAGCTGCTTCTGTGGTTTGTTTTTCAAAACCACATTTTTTTCTTTTTTTCTCCTCTGGAGAGTAAAGAAGGAAATCACGGATCCGCTCGTCGCTTCACTCATTGATCTCAATGAATGAGATAAACACGACATGTTTAAAGTCGTTATCCAGCAGCTTTTTTCACTTCATCAGCATCTTCATCTCCTTAAGTCCTGAAAAACAACGTCCTCCATCTGGTTTGTGTCAGAGAATAAACCCAGAATCTGATATTTTCTACTTCATGTCGAAGTGAAATACACAAAGACTCAGTTCAACATGTGAAAAAAACACGTTTAATTGATATGACATGGTTTTTTTTAATAGTATAAATACGAGTTTAAAAGAAGGCAGCGAAGTACAAGCTCCATTAAAGTGGAACATATAAGTCAGCATCAAACCATGAGAGTATAAGGTGTTTTTTATTTTTGTGTAAATGTGTCACTGGGAGTGTGTGTCTGTGTGTGTGTGTGTGTCTGTGTGTGTGTGTGTGTGTCTGTGTGTGTCTGTGTTTGTGGGAGGAAAGGGGAGTTAACTGAGTCCCTTTACAGGAGCAAAGGACTGGTTGTGCGTGGGATGCTAGTTAAAAACAAGAGCGTGCACACACAGACACACACAGACACACACAGACACACACACTCTCTCACTCTCACACACACACACACCACAGGGACTTCTCACAGTTGAAGGGGCCTTAAGGAGAGCACACACACAACCATCACCCCTCCTCTCATTTGGTGAAGTGCCGGCTGCCATCGCTGCTCCATTAGCACCAAGTTGTTTCATATGTTCTTAACTACACAGACACATTCTCTCAGTAAAGAAGGAGGGAGGAAAGGAGAGAGAGAGAGAGAGAGAGAGATTGGGGGAGAATGAGAAACCGAAACGACAAGAAGAAGATGAAACGTCCGTGAATTTTATGTTTATACTCGAAATATTGTCGTAAATAATTTGATTGGCAGTAAAAAAAAAAAAAAAGAGTGACAGTTGAGTTCGAGGACGTAAGAGACAGAGATGGGATGAGGGAGGAGAGGTGGAGGGGAGAGAACGAGGGAGCGACTCGCAGGGAAGGAGGGAAAGAACAACAACAACAAGCACATCAGCTGTGGAGCAGACGAGACCCGAGCTGGATGACAACACAGTGTTGTTGTGTGAAATGGTTCATCTTCATCATCTTCATCATCATCATCATCATGAAACACAACGGAGGACACACACACACACACACACACACACACACACACACATTGGTCTCTGGCCCATTTCACACATTTAGAGCACACGATTCTCTCTGAGGAC